AATGTTTAATTAGTAATGATCAGAAGCCTTCGATTGCATTATTCCAAATGTGGGTGGCATATGTTAGAAGGTTGCCTGTCAATCTTTGCTTCTGCACACCATACTGATAGTTACTGAGATGCTGAAGCATTCCAAAAATATTAGAATGTGTTTGTTAACAGCTTTCTCAATGAAAAAAACAAGTTTTTGTTTTTGGTAACAAAAATTACAAAAATTCTAGTTATCTGATTCAGATATCGAATTCAAGTTGAGTAAAAAATCTCATGAGAAAAAATAATCAGTCATTTCATTTCAAATAATGAAATTGACGTCCATTTCTGATATCACCAAAGTATAAAAATTCAAAACAATAATTTTCATCACAAAGAGGCACCTATATAAAAACAAACGTTACTTATTCAACTTATACTGGTGTACACTGCCTTTTTTCTATTATGACAGCGCTCCTTGCAAAGAACTGACCAGCACGTACCTTTCGTTCTCATCTTTCTTATTATAGTACTCTAAAAGATACAGAAGAAAAATTCTTCAGATTGATGTCATTAGAACGAGTAAAGTCAACAAATCTGATACTAAGTAAATTATACTATTATTATAGTGCATCAGTTGAATACCCTTCCAAAAATAACACCGCTAGTCGGTGATTTCTTCTGTGATATCCGTATACATCATCTCTTAAAATAATAAATAACACTACGCTCCCAGTTTGTACAGCTGTAATAATGAAGGTTTAATAGTATTGTCTGTCATTCTCCTTACCAGTTCTGTCAATGTTTAAGTTTATATATATAATATTTCCAAAATTTTTTTACCACTGATGATAAATCAACTTGCGAAACTAATGTAGTGAAATATCAAGAGACTATAAAACTTGGGTGTTGGCACTGAAAACGATGAAGTCATGATTATAAATGCAAATTTAAGTGATTAACTACATAACAGCCGTAGATCACGCGATTTTAATTATTCATCTACTTGTAATGTACATATTTCTTTCTTGTGAACATAAACGATATATGGAGTCTATATCAGAAATCAAGATCGCTCGTCTATTTCAATAAACATTCAATAAATCTTCAAATATCAAGGACATCAGTACAGGGATTTATAGGTACTTTTATTTATGTTTATTTCATTCACTCAACAACTCAACTAATATTTTATCAAGTATTCAAGTGCACTAAACATGGAAGGGAAGTCGAAAGTATATCCGAGTTGTTTTATTCGGCATCATTGAATTATCCATATCACGAACGCGATGTGGATTCAAGTTTATCTAATTCAGTCAGCAGTTGTGCCAATTTATCAAGAGCTCAAGTTTTATAAACACAATTGCCACATCCGTTCTGAAGCTGGCTTGCATACTGTTTGAATATAATGTTGCGTCGAATAACGATCCGTTAAATTTCTGACAAAACGCCTAGCTCACGTCGTTTTCAGAAATGAGACATATTCAAATCCAAATAATATATATTATCACATACAACGAATGATATGGAACTGTTCGCTTTATAATGAACAGAACTCGGTCAGCGAACAATTAGTGAGTTTTATTTATGGACATGAATATGGAACATCGTTCATTAAAAGTTTCAGACAACGCACATATTGATGGTTGAATTAATTACACGATTAACACTACGGAATTGCAGAGTACAAGAACTGGAATATACTCAAATTACGAGACAGATTTTTGAATTGGATTTAATTGGAAAAAATATTCAAGTTTACATACAAGTAATTGGATGGGTTAAATATAGACGCCAAACAAAAAGAATGAATTTTATAAGAGATTATTGTTTTATATACACTCCGTTCTGGAAGAAAAGCATTTCTTTCACAAGTCACGGCTTTTGATGTATCTGATGGACATATTCACAAAACACTTTATTGTGAGATTCTCACATTTTAAAAAAACGCAAAACGTGTTTCGCTATACAATAGCTTTTTCAGACGTGTTTATACGACATGCCTGAAGTAACACGTGTTGCGTTTGTTTAATGAAAATCTCACAATAATGTTTTTCGTGAATGCTTTTGCTGTAATTCATTTATTTCAAACCCATTTCAGTTTTGAGTGGTTCAGCAATAAGTAGTGGTTCAGTAATAAGGAGTGCAATGTTTGGCATTACTGATCTTCAAAAGAATTTACGAACCCTCCATTAGATGTTTTAGAACAGCCCTGATGATGCAGCAAATTTTGCCTTTGAAGTAAATGGAGTTATTCTATCAGGCATAGAGCATATATTCATTTTTCAATGATGTGATATTCTAAGAAAAAACATGTTCAACAGAAGTTGCGAACAAACTACCTACTGATTTGGTTGGTTTCAGGGTTTTGCCGTGGTCTTCTTTGGTTACAATATCTAAACGTTTCAACTGCAACTGCGGCAGTGATCTTCATTGACGTGGTCGAAGTATCCTTCTTGACGTATCAACTGAAACTTTTCCAGTTGATACGTCACCATCTTGCTGAACGATTTTCTATTAGATACATCTAAACTTTCTCGACCCAAAAATCCCATTCACAATGGAACGAGAAACCCAAGGGCCCTAGCCTTCTTGGATGTTCTTGTGAACAGACGCGAAGATGCTACATTGGACCACATGAAACCAACACACACAGACAGGTAGCTGAACAAAAACTCTACTCACCAGTCAGAACAAAGGAAGAGTCAATAAACAATAATAAAATCTGGCTACCTGACCTTAAAGGTACACAAGCAAGGTCAGATAATCCAATTAAGAGAAACCAAACCACGCCCAGTAATAATTATATAAAACCAAAGTCGAATACCAACATTGTACCCAGCCAGACTCCTGGGATTAGTGGAAGACCCTACGGAGCATCCTAGAGGAATATCCATTGGCTATCAGACAGCGGACAGTACACGGCCCGGAACACCCTGAAGACTCAACCACACCACCCCTGACTTAACACAAACAGATACCCCTCGAACACAGCTATGGACCAGGACACTCTAACAAAGAAAGGAAAAACACACAAACACTAACATAGATAAGATTAAATAACTGTAATCCTAAGAGGCACAAGCCTATAGCAGGGCCCTCATCTTATACATAAATGTACATTATAAATCACTAACACAACCCCAAAAATGAATAAAAACTTGACCAGCAGCCAACATTGTAGTTACTGCGTTCGGAACGGGAACAACAACTCGAACACCAACTTGGGCACTGCGACCATTAGCACGTCGTCTTCGATAATATCTACCGCAGTAGTAGACGAAACGTCAGGCATAAAAACCTGCAGAAAATGGCTAAAAAATCCGAACAGCTTTCACAGTTATTTCCGCCCGTGATAGTTTACATTAGTTGATCAATAGGAATTGAATCAAACATGTTGAAACTTTTCGATTATTCTATAATCACATTTGGGAAAACTAATAGAAGCTCTGTATAAATATAACTGTAGACCACAAATATCAACTTTCATTCGCAAATAAATGATCAAGAATTGAGAACACCATACACGAAATAAACTTAAACCATCTCATTGCAAAATGATATCATGACCATTTTCGAAAAGCGTGAAATACATTGACGAGCGGATAATTCCGGATTCAGACATGGCATTCGTCAGATGTCGGATTAATATTCCTACGTGCCTGGTCACTTTAATGATAGTTTATGCTTTATATCTGTATGAATATTTGAATAGGGTCTTTGTACCGAAATGTATACAAAAGTTGAATAAGTTATCTGGGAGTGGTGATATTCTCATTTGTTATGATAAATTACTGTACTCGGTTCTCGGTGTGATGCTACACAACATTCTGAGAACAATTTCTGTCCGGAAATATCGGATTTTCGTGGAGTCAGCGTCTCCTTGTAAAATGATTTATGTCAATAACTACTTTATCTGGAAAGACACATGATTCAGCATTTGGCGACTTGAAAATCGGGATACGAGATATTGATTTTAATATGAGAATTTTCAACACGTAGGTATGATATATTGTAGGAAATACAAAAGCAAGGAATTTCAAAAGTGAAGCTAAAACTGTAACTGAATTACATAAAATTCATAAATTTGTTTACGTGACATTTATAAGAAGACTTCAAATAGATGTACATCGGGTACCTATTCTTCAAAGCAGTAATTTATAAGATGCAAATGTTTTTACATTTGTCTTCATCGGGAATAGGATAATAAGTGTTAAAATATGATATTTTATCAATAAAAACAATAATAAAAGAGGTAAAACATCAGTGATAATTGTGATGTATTATAATAAAACGAATCTGATAACTCACATGTTTATCACAGGGTACTTTAATGAAGACAGCACTCCTACTACCATTTATTTAATTATATCTACCTAATAATTTTGTATCAATTTTTAAAATTCTAAATTTCCTCATTCATTGACTGTTGTGCGTTCGCCGGGTCCGTTAGTTTCTCAATAGCAACCTATCATGAGTCGAATTGACAAATTCAAAAGTCAGTATATTGAATGTATTCATGTTATAGCTTTCCACAAATAAGAAATACATCTTCAACCGTAACTATAATGGAAACTGGTTTATACAAATGTAGTATTATGTAAAATGAAAAATTACTAATATCCTTCCACTGTTTTTGTATAAATTTTTCTGGGAAAATAAAAAACACCTGTGGAGAAAATTTAAAAATGAAATAAATCTGCAAGCTATAGGTGTTTTTTTTTACTTTTTTGCGGATATTGGTCTCTGAAAATTTCAGTGTATATATTTGTGCAATTCTAAGCTCTTTTTGACAGGCAAAAATTATAAAAAACAAATTACTGACAGCTCAATTTCCTTCAGGAAACATATATTGCATTTACACAATAACTTTTACCGGGGTGAACTTTGTCGTTTCTACATACAGTTAGAGAAACTCTGATCTATTCCACACTAACTTTTGTTCAATGTATATTTTCTATATTATTCGAACGCATAATATAAAATGTCAAATATTTCAATATGTATTCAACCTCTGATACTTATACTCACTTTTTATCAGTTTTCAAAAATGTGTCGAATTCCACGGACATTTTGCAGCACAAGGCTTTCCTACTGTGAGAAGACGAACAGTTCGTGTTGATCATGTGGCCGTCTGAAAAAGTAAATGCTGTGAGTAATTGAAATAATTATCAACAGGATGTGCGTACAAGAAAAAACATCGAATGCATATGTGTTCAAATAATTTTATAATCTTTGTTGGGTTGGTAATGAAACTGTACTGTGTGACAATGACCTTATGAAATTATATTATAATCCCAGATGAATGTCTGACATACTTTTGATATCATATTTCTCGAAGTATAATTTCATTGAGGTTCATTGCCATCAAATTAAAAAAGTGTTGTGAGTATTACTACTTTACGGCGGTCTATAAATAGAGTGGTGTGAAAAGTATTTACTACTTTAAGGAACATTCACCCGAACAACCCGAAAATTCATCTTAACCCATTTATGCCCAGAACTATTTATTTCTTCTAATCTTTACAAATCTCACATATTATGGTTAAATGGCATTCAATTGAAGAAGTAACTATCGAAAAACGAATTTCAGTGAGGAAATTTAGTGTTTTGATATGGGTCGTTTTTGACCCACTTGGGCAAATAAGTATCCTATATGCAATGCACACATTATGGGTAATGCGTTCTCCTGGAACGCATTATTTATTTGCGCACTTTATCTCTTTCCGGTGTCGTGAGTGCTATTTGTCAGGAGTTGGAAACCTGTGCCTTCTCTCGGATGTTGGCAATATGGCATACATATATTCTAGAAACACAGTGGTTTCTTCTGAATCAGCTACTTTATCATGTTTCTGCAATTGAAAATCCCATACGACTGTACAATTTATAGGAAGTGGTCGACTAACTCCTTCAACGCAACGTTTTTTTTCGGGCAGGTTTTTAATATCGACTTACGAGCTGGTTCTGGTATTCTTGTTCCAATCAATATTGTCCGAATTGTAGTTCCAGAGCTCACACTATCTTTTGAAAATCGTTTTCATTGCTCCAAAAGGTTTTGCAGTATTTTTGGAGCCTGACCTCACAGTGCTAGAACTAAACTATATCCATCTGACAAACAAAGTAACCCAAACAAAGATAGATGCATGATCGAAGCATGGTCACCACACACATCTACATCTATTGCGTAAAATAAACAAGCGTCCTTACGCTGGCCAGTCAGATTCAACTTCAATCGGCTGGCGGAATTCTTTGTTACCTTGTCGGAGTGCCCAGTTACGTTTTAACATCTGTGGTGTGTACGTATACGGTATTTTAATTTTTAAAATTTTCAACATGTCAAGTACTGATACGGCTGAGAAAACTTCTAACTTGTGTCCCTAGAATCCATCTAAAAATTTTCCTATACGCCGTCGCATATTATTAAAAAAATCGGTCTTACAAGCAGACTTGTCTGGAAGATCACGTGCACTATGCATAATAATGTTTTGTATCAATCTTTTGCTTAGATGGACGAGTAGTTCACTGGCTTTTTTCTTTTCCGTCAGTTGTTGGCTGCTAATTCAAATTGTCAACGGTACATGGCCTACGATGACTATTCATCAAAAATTGACGCATTGCCAATTTGCTGCGTTGTTTTTATTGAAACAAGTAGATCTTTTTCAAGGGGGTTGGAAATGTGAGTGTACTCGAGTTGGCCTTTTAATTTGTTAACGGCTTCGTTAAATTTCTCATTCATCTTTCCAAAAACATGTTTATCTATCTACTTTCAATAATTTCAGCTCATTTTCGACTCTACTCGACCGCTGAATGGTTATTTCTTATCTCACACTTCCTTGAGTTCTCCTCGCACCTCCCCTTCCTCCCTCCGTTTCAATTCCATGTTGCTTCACTTGTTTCACCAGTATATCTTAGCCTACTTTTAATTTTTCTTTCCATTTCTTCTTTTTGCTGGTTTTAACAGGTTTTAAATAATAAATAATTCGAACATTAAGTTCAACTTCAACACAATTTTTATGAATGAATAATTCATTTTCATAATTCATATTCATCCATGATGAAATAAAAATGAATGTAATTTTTTTCTTTTAATATAGGACAAGGAGTTTGGACTTATGATTCATACTTTTTACAACTTGAACTTGATATTTCATCCATGATGAAATAAAAATGAATGTAATTTTTTTCTTTTAATATAGGACAAGGAGTTTGGACTTATGATTCATACTTTTTACAACTTGAACATGATAATTGATCTACAAATAGAAGCTGATCTTTGTTCGAAGACTGCTGACTCCACTTTTTTTATTGGGTGTTCGTTTAGTGAATGTAGATTGCAAAACGTGAAGGTCTGAAACACTGTGCAAAAATGCGGATCGTGCAGTTGTTTTTATAAATGCAACTATTATTATAGTACGCCTGATTTATAAAAAAAAACTTGCTGTGTATTGCAATGCAAAATAAATGCAATTACTCGAGCATGAAGAGAAGACAGAATGCACCTGCATAACATTGTTGAGCATTTTCGTTCCACCCAGAATAACAACAACAGGAAGTCATTCGATTAAAGATCGTCTATAACCAGAGGCGTCCTTTTCAACAAGAAGCTTCCTATGCTATTCGAGCAACAATTTCAAGCCTATAGAAATACTAGAAGCCAATTTGACATTCAATACATTTTTCTGATATTCGAGTATAAAAAAATGAGAATCAGGGCAAAACATTGATTTTCATTTCATCAACAATAAGTCGTTGATATAATGAAACGGGAATCGATTCCTAAGAAACACCAGCGTTGATAGTAAAGACATCGGAGAGAGAAACATTGATGACCACTTGTATGGACCACTTTGAAAAATTGAAATTCAGTTATTTCATCCAGTGTGCGTTGGTGGAGTTCCCACAGACGCCGACTATGTGTATAGTGTGCCTTTCGTATCTTGGAAGTTCGTTCACCATAAATTTACTACCCGGAGTATAGCTAATTAAATGGATAAGAAGGATAAGTCGAGTGCAGGTGCAAATTTCTAACTTGATTACAAACTGTATTATTTATTGTATAAAAAGCGAGTGAAACTATATAGAGGAAAATAATCTACTTATGTAGATATAAGAGGCTTGATTTTCGTAGGCAGTTTATTATTTTTATGAGATATTATAAAATAGCGGGAATTACATCTCTTCAAATTGAAAAGGGTCTTGTTTTAGGAGAGATTAGTTTTAGAGAAAAAACTTTTTGGTTTCCTTCATCTTCTTCATTGACGTCCTTTCAATATATTTCTTTCCGACACAAACTGGAAAAAAACAATTTGAATAGATGCATAGTATTATTTATATGTTATTAACTGTTTGTTCCGATTTTTATCAGTTTTCATTGAAATATAGCTGATAATTGAAATAATATAGATTTCTCTAGTACTGATTTCATTATCAGTATCAATTAAAATATGTACTAGCTGAGTCCTAACGTGCTAACTGTGAATGGAAGTCGGATGTTGACTATTGAATCATGAGTGTGCCCTTGAACTGAAAAACTTTTTTATTCGTGTATTAAGAAAATGTACGTTGCAAAACCAGGCTTAGCAAAGAAACGGCTAGAGAAGACTCGTTTATATTTGATATTTGCGGATTGAGACTCCTATTGATGGAATCTTCGTAAGGGGAAATGTCATCGGCTGTACTTACTTTAAATTATCTGTCTTTAAAGGACAGTTGAGTCCAGCTATTCGCTATCTATAACGTGATACTTGAACTATACCTATTCGCAAAACAAAACCGTTATTTCAACACCTCGATACGTGTTTCGATCACTAAGTGATCATCTTCAAGAGGAAGATCAAACAGTTCGATCTTCCTCTTGAAGATGATAACTTGGTGATCGAAACACGTGTCGAGGTGTTAAAATAATGATTTGGTATTAGGAAAAAACTCTAGTGATCTCAAAAAACTACCGAACGGATGTTAATACGGTTGATTCAAAAGGATAGTTTGCAGAAACCTTCTTCACGGATAGAGAGCTACCACACTATTAATTTTCTTCAATTATTCCACAATGATCTGTAATAATCCGGTTTTTCTTGAACGTTAAATACTATTTCCGAAAACTCCAGAATATTCCGGGATGTTCTAGACTTTTATAGAACTTTATAAAAAGCGAAACATCCAGCCATTATATCTTCAAAAGCGCGCCATTCAAGTAAAAACTGAAACATTTTTCATGAACAAGCTGATGCTGATGTGACACTATGAAAGAAAGAAATGTATGCGTAAATGATGGCTAGTATTTAATTTTTCAGAACTGAATACTCACTTGTTTTTGTTTGGAATTCACGATCATCCGTATCCGTGAAAAACCATATCTGAAAATAAAAACATAATTGAAATAACCGCACATTAAAAGTCGACGATTTCCAGGAAAAATGAGTAATCAACCTTTTGTTCTTTAATGAAAACAATTACATTTTGGTTTAATTCCATGGCAGGGTTTTTGCACGAATACGCTCTAACGAATATTAATTGTCTTTATGAGCTGACTAAGCGGCAGAAGTTTAACTTCCGGTGGTTGTTATTTTATTTAGGTACATACGCCGCGCGAACTCCACAAACGTTATAAAAGTCCATTTTCATGCGTTTTAATTTCCTATTTATGTGATGAACGCCATCAGCAGGTATAATACAGTTGGAATTATTTTTTTTATCTGAATGAAAGGCAAAAACTAGTCGATACAACGAAATAATAAAGACCCAAAGTTGAAAATTAATATGATATGCGTCAGCAGTAACAATATTATTTACGCAATGTACAACAATGAATATTAACGAGTGTTCAATAAAAAAGTCATATTAGTCCTCTGTCACGATTTGAAACACTTTCCACCTAGTGAAAACATGAATTTTATGCTTTGTCCCGAAATTTTTCTCTGAATCCTATGTTCTCTTGAGAAGAAACACGACAGTTGAAATAAAAGATGTTGAAAAGCTCTCCAGAAAATACTTAAAAAATATCGATTTTGAAAAATGCAGATATTTGGAAATTGGTCCTTTCAGACGAAGACTTATGGAATTTATCTGATGATACCATAATTTTTGCTTATACCTAATATTTTCTTAAATAAAAATCTGTTTCAAAAATCTGTTTGAAATCTGTTTTTCCGTTAACCAGCTGTCACACCCTCAGAAGTTAAAACTTGTACGAGCTAACGAGGTCTTACGGATGATTCCTAGCATACCTAGTTATTGTTATGTAAATATTTTGAATTAAAATGTTATGAAAGTATTAATTGTATATGAATCAATGAACATAGTTATTAGTTTCAACATGTACTTTTTATCAAATACTCGACCGCACACCACTGCAGGTAATAAAACGAACCGAAAGCTCATACAATTTTTTTTTTGGGAACCGTTTGCGATACAAAAATACAGTGGACCTAGTAAAGTATTTCATATCCGCCTACATACCAGCTGTGGCAAATCATAACAAAAATTTTTTGAGCACTCTATCAGCATTTTGCATTCAAATTAAAAATTTATTTCTTTTTACACGCTTTATATTAGCCTGTATGTATGTATGTTCGTTTGTAACTCTTATGCTCGGGATCTGTATTTGACAGAATTATCAACAGTATTGCTTGATCTATTCGAGGGCAGATGGCGCTGTACGTAACCTCCTTGATATAATTCGAACTCACTTTACATGTATTTCTTCATTTGAAAAAAGTATTTTTTTTATTAACACGCGCGCCTGCTGCTTTACTTGTAACCCTCCTTTGCGCGCCTGCTGCCTTGCGCTTGCTAGCTGATTTTCAGGCTCCCTCTCCGGAATCGGAAAATATCAATGTTCGTTTTTCTAAACAACATACGGCCGATTGATCCCAAAGTTTAGATAAAATAAATATAGTTCAAAAAGACTAGAAAATATGCTTTTATAACATACGAAAAAAAAAAATTAAAAATAAATATGGTTT